GCAGAGATGGTTGAAATAGAAGAAAAATTAATATACTACCATAGATTAACGGATCAACGAAATATGAGTTAATGCAATTGTAAGGACACAATACCATTCATCGAAGATTGCTAGATACTACTTACACTAATACTACATAACTAGAAGCAACTTTCATTTACACTACAGATCTCTTACAACATACCAGTTGAACTCTATGCATATGCTTGCATGGGTAAAGGAAGTTTAAACCGGTTTAGGACCCGTTCTAACAGCTAACTTCAGTTTGATCTCTGGAGAAACCGTTTGGATTTATACTCCCTGGTATCAATTAAGTACATGTCAGCAAGAAACAAACCACTGAGAATATGAAAGCCTTTATCATCAAACTGTAGTAGTAATAAATAGTATAATTATGAAACAAGATATTTGAGAACATAATCTGACAAAAAGAGAAATTATGTAATATTCATTTATGGTAGCACTAAATAGTATAATTATGAAACAAAATATTTGAGAACATAATCTTACAAAAAGAGAAAATATGTAACATTCATTTATTGTAGCAGTAAATATATACTCCCTACATACTTTAATTTCATTATCTTATCTATTTGGACTGGAAACCTTAGCCAAAGGCCTAGGTGTATTCTTCTGAACTATAGACAATGAATGAATCAACTTATTTCACATAAGATGCATAGATGCAAAGACTGAGTGAATTAGTGAGTGTGTGTGTGTGTGAAAGGGAGAGAGAGAGATGAGTAGGCAGAATCATCCTCTTCCCTGCCTAGAACCCAAACTCTCCAGTACGTCTCTAATCTAGTATGAAATTTCCGACATGTAAAATTGCTAAAAAAAGAAACAACCAAAAAGCATATCCCTAAGTGGAGACAGAAAGAAAATCACTTAAATGAATCGAAGCATATCCTATCAATTAAGACCTGAGATTCTGAGAACATCCATAAACTTATTCTGATGGTATCAAAGATTCAAAATATCACTCTAGAAACTGCAAGAAATCACGTTGAATAATGTATCAATAATAATAAAAAGAGAATAATTCATACCTCAGTTGGTGATGAAATAATAGATTCCCTGCAAGCATCCAGAAAGCCACTTAATTTTCACCCATAATTGAGATTACAGAATACAGAGACTATTTAAAATCCATTTCTGAGAAAGAGAAGAAAAGTAATTACCTTGGTCTCTCTGCCTTGGCAAGATGTTTAGACATTATGGATGCCTGCAACAAAACCAATCATCATACTTCCATCTATCTTCAAACCAAGAGGCAAGAATTGATGGAGAAAATAATATTACTAATTGTTGGCTATTAGAAATGTTTTCCAATTGAAGACCAGAAAAGTGTTTTCAATTAAAATTTAGATAAAAAACAAAACTTGTATGTGATAGAACAGCAAAAGCATCACTCTAAGGAAAAAACCAAGGCATGGACATACACAGAATTTTAATGAGATGCCACTAAGTTGATGATTGATTGGTTTCAAAACTCAGATAAACTCATTGAAAGAATGTATTGTATCCTGATTCCGGTTCCAATTGCCAAGATTTGGGACGGATAATACCTGCTCCTGGATTATGCTCCTTGCCTCAACAAGTTGGGCTTCAAGCTCTAGCTCCCTCTCTGTTGCTTCAGAAGTGACTTCCGCACCTTTTTGTGCATCTTGTAACTGGACCATACGCTCCTAGTATAGAGAAATCCATTAAAAATGTCAACCATTCATTTTCACTATCTATTATTGTAGATGAAACATGAGAGGACTGTATAGCAATGACAAAGAAGTATATACCTTTATTGAAGCCATCTTAGTTCGGAGACTTTCTTCTATTTGATCTCTAGCCATGTGAAAAGGCAGATCGAACACATCCTATAAATAATAAAATTTCTAGCTTAGATACAGCAATTTGCCCATTAGGAAAACAACAAATTTGAATCATTTTAAGAGCATACCGTCTTCCCACCAAATGGAGATTGTGAGGCATCAGTTTCAAGTCTTTCATTCACAGCCAAAGATTGCTTGGGCAATCCATTAGGAGCATTAAGAAAATCACGCATGTCTACCTGGAAACAGGTAAATATGAATGAAAAACAAGTAGCAAAAGATGATGAAATATTGTGGAAGCATATTCCCATGACACACTATTTTCCATGAGTATGGCACAATTCAACCATCTAGGGGAATCCAGTTTGTCTTTCTATTCCACAAAAAAAAGTGAACAGGGACAAATTATTCTTTATATCCAAAATGAGAAGATGCATTTTTATTTAACCCTGTTCCAGCCAGTGGCACAAAGAAAACATAAGCAGATCCATCAATTATGTGAAACATATCCAAAAGTTATAGAATGGTTAACATGCCTGCATTGACCTTAACAACGCTCTTAAGTCAGCATTCTCAGCCATCAGTTCTTGATTTTTTGCCTCATAAGCATCCACCTACAGATAGTGGAATGTCAAACATAATTTCACCAGACACTGAGACAACAAGCTTCAAATAAATTGAATAACCCTTCATAGAATCTTTTTATAGAAATCGTTATCAACCTTCTTTCCATTCCAAGTCCCACGCTGCCGCCCTTCTTTCTGTTTTCACAAGTTATAAAACCAATTAGCTGATCAGAATTAAACTGCTTCACCATTACCACTACTGGTAGTCAAATAAATACCTGAAGCAAGTTCATTATCTCCATTCCTGATCTTGATTCCTTCTTCTTCTCCATCAGAACTTGGTTAAGCCTCTCCTGCAAGAGAAACACTCACATCATCAAAACTGTATGATCCCATTCTCTGATCATAATCAGAACAGATTCTTTTTAAGTTTTCAAAAACCATGGAGAAAAGATCCTACCTGCAACTTTATGTACTCCTTCTCTTTTTTCTTCATTTCATGTATCTGCTGGGTTCTCACTTGCTTTTTTAGAATCGACACATAATTAACAATAGTTAGTACCAGTACATTGTTTA